GTCACGCTGGCTTTGCACCTTTTAAAGGAATGTTGCCTCTACCCTGAAACACACATGCTAACCCATTCTCAAGGTTCTGACCTTTAAAGGTATAACACTTATTTGCAGAACAGAAAATAACACTTGCCTTGTTGGAGGTTTATAGGAACATTGTGTCCAGACCTACACTGACAGCTGCAAGAGCAAAGGATGCTTGCACCAAAAAGTTTGCAACAGCCAGCCACATCCCCTCACCTTTTAGTATAAAAGAAGCCTGAGTTCTGATTTGAGTAAAATGGTTCTTTGGGACACTAGTCCACCATCTTCTCAGTCTGCTGGCTTTCCAGATAAGGTCCCTATTTCTTTCCCCAACAAATCATAACTCCATTTATTGACGTGTCCTGCAGTGAGCGGTATGAGCTTGGACTCTCTAACAGAGGTTCATCCAATAGCCTATTCCTTTGTATTGCTGAGAGTATTCTGTTTTATGAATAAACCTCAGTCTGTTTATCTGCTTACCTGTTGATGGATATTTAGGATATTTTGAGTTTTGGCTTATATTAATAACGTTCTGAATAAGATACCAGGCTTTGTATAGGCACATTCTTTCATTTCTCTTAGGTAAATACAAGGACTGGAATAGGTAGGTCATGTGGTATGTGTATATTTGACTATTTAAGAAACTACCCAACTGTTTTCAAAAGTGCTTGTGACATTTTACATTCTGATCAGCAGCACATGAGAGTTCTAGTTACTTCACAGCCTCATCATCACTTTGTATGATAAAAATTTTTTAATTTAAGAAATTCGAGGACAACTGACCTTGTAGTGAGCAGGATGCATCCGGATCCCAGGGTGATGGTGGGGACTCATTGCTGGACCCCCAGGCCCATGGCTTCCTCCCCATCCACCTGCTGCCCATTTCTTGGCCCAGGGCTAGGGCGGGGACCCAGGACCTGGGCAACTTTTTCCCCCAAAGTCCCTGGGCCAGGGATGAACACCGGGGAGGGGTAGGGTTCCTCCCCAACACTCACTCCTCCTGGCCCATGATGGACCATCTCAGGCACTGGAATTTGCTTTGAAGTTTCACTGATGGCTGACCTCAGCAGGCAAGCATATTTAGAAATTTTCACCAACTGAAAGACGTCCCTTCTGCATCACTTTCCGTCAGTTGGACACCTTTTGTGCATGGAGAAATTTTACTTTTTTATTTCCACTGCTACAATGAAGAAACATCAGTAAATTAGAGGAATAAAAATATAGTAATATTTTAAAAAAGAAATTCTAATCAGTGTGTACAAGTCTTATACCTTCTTGGTTAACTCTCTTCCTGAGCATTTTATTCTTTTTCATGCTATTGAAAATGGGAATGTTTTCTTTTTTTTAAAAAAAAATTGAAGTATAGTTAATTTACAATGTTGTGCTATTTTCAAGTGTACAGCAAAGTGATGCAGATATATATATATATATATATATACACACATACATATATATATATATTCTTTTTCAGATTCTTTTCCATTATAGATTATTATAAGACATTGAGTATAGTTCCCTGTGTTATACAGTATGTCCTTATTGTTTACTTATTTTATATATAGTAGTGTGTATATGTTAATCCCAACCTCCTAATTTATCTCTCTCCCTCACCTTTCTCCTTTGGTAACCATAAGTTTTTTTCCTAAGTCTGTAGGTTTGTTTCTGTTTTGTACATAAGTTCATTTGTATCATTTTTTTAGATTTTTTAGATTTAGATTTTAGATTTTTAGATATATAAGTGATATCATATGATATTTTTATTTCTCTGTCAAGGTTGAGAAATGTAAACAGCCTACCACATACATAAAAATACAAATAGCAATTTAGACAAAATGAGGTGACAGAGGAATATGTTTCAGAGGAAGGAACAAGCTAAAAACCCAGAAGAACTAAGTGACTTGAAAATAGGCAATCTCCCTGGGTATGTTTTCTTAATTTCCTTTTTGAATTGTTCATTGTTAAGTTTATAGAAACACAACTGATTTTTGTATATTGTTTTTGCATCCTGCAACTTTGCTGAATTTGTTTATTAGTTTATAACTCTTTTTAAACTATATGAAAGAGATCAAATAAAATCATCAAAATGGTAAATCCCTTTCTTGCTTGGAACCTTGAGGAAAACATAAATTGGATAATTTTTATAGGGACATCGAACAATATAATGGGAGGTGTCTTCAGTAGCAGTTTTATCAAAAGTTTCTTCGGGCTTCCCTGGTGGCGCAGTGGTTGAGAGTCCGCCTGCCGATGCAGGGGACGCGGGTTCGTGCCCCGGTCTGGGAGGATCCCATATGCCGCGGAGCGGCTGGGCCCGTGAGCCATGGCTGCTGAGCCTGCGCGTCCGGAGCCTCTGCTCTGCAGCGGGAGTGGCCACAACAGTGAGAGGCCCGCGTACCGCAAAAAAAACCAAACAAAAAATAGTTTCTTCATAGAGCCCGTTATTATATCAGCCCTCAATAAAAGCTGAGGACATAATGCTAAATCACAGTACTGCAAAGACATTTCTATGATTGCTTGATTTCCAAGTATGACATGAACTGGAGGAAAATATGACAGTGTGACTTCCTTGTATCCAGGACTGATAGGCTTATTTCTGAAGTCCACATTGCAGGGATAGAAAAAAAAAAAAAAAAAAGAACTTTGTAATAAGTTGTGAAATTATACTGAAATTAAGTGTCTTTTCCACTTTCTGTAGTATAATACTAAATATAATTACTTCTATATTAGCCTAAAATAAGAAATGCTTTATTGATTTATATGAATTTTTGAGGAACTTGGTGTAGAAGTCCATCTCAGTTAAAGGAGAAGCTCTTAGTCTTAAAAATCTTAATTATAACCACAAGGTAGCAAAATCTTTAAACGACTTACCATTTTGGAAACTCTTGTAACTTAAATTGTGAAACTCTCAATTTCTACTTTATATCTTTTAAAAAGGAGACCCAATTAAGAATCTTTATATAAAGCACTTTAGACAAAACTTCTTAAATGAGGTGTAAACACTAAAGTAAACAGGAAGGTAAGCTATCACTGCAATAAGGAAACAAAATGAAATGTGTGTAAAAGTGTTAATAAGAATACAACAGGCTTCTACAACACTCAGGAGAGAGATGGGGGCTTATATATAGTCTTTTTCATTTTAAATAAATGAAGAGAGGAATAGAACGTAGGATAATCGAAATGGCTGGGACACAGCTCTTTAAAAATAAGTTTTCAATTTGCACAACTGAAGGAATAACATTATTTTCTCTAAAGCCTCATGAGGAAATACAAGTAATAAAGCAGTAGGCAAAACAAAATAGAAAATGTGAATGAAACAGAATGGTTTGCATTTGGGATACTGAAATCAACCAGCTTGATTTAATTATTTTGGGGAAGCCAAACAGAACTTGAAAACAACAGTATTATTTTTTAAAAAAATTCATTTTATAACAAACAAAGCAAAGATTTATGTAGTGAATTCTACCTCAATATTTATTACTGACTAAATCTGAGTAAGTAAAAGAAGAGGGAAGGGATGCTGATGCTTTTTATGGGAAAATTAAAAATGATAACGATTAGTGGTGATACTTTGTCCCACTTTTCATCATGACTCATGAGCATGATCATTGTGATCACATGCTCCTCTGTGGCCTGCAAAATCTAAAATATTTACTACCTGGCCCTTTATGGAAAAAGTTTTCTAATGCTTAGACTGATAGCACTTGAATTATCTTCCACCTGGTTGTTCCATCTGCAAGAGATATGGAATAAAAAGCATTAGTAGAAATGATTGTACGTACTTGATAATATTGGAGTCTAATATACATTTGTCATGACAATGAGCAACTTAGTAGTAGGAAAATGCCTTTTTAAGGGTTTGTTTCTGAAAGAATATAAATTCCTCTTGTTTGGTAGTTTGATTTCCAAAATTCAGTGAAGAGAAATAGTATTTTATTCTTCTTTCCCAGTGACCTCAAAATCATTTTCAACCATTAATTAAGCCTCATTGCAAATATTATCCCTATTACAAATACAAAAATGAGAGCAGTGAGAACTCAAATTACTTCTTTAGAATCATGTGGTAAAATGATAGAAGGATTGGGAACAAAACAGTTCTCACAAGTCAGTATTTTATCCCTTTGATTATTCTCCAGCTCCAGCACACGGTTTAAATGCTTTTAAAAATGTTTCCATTTCTTTTTTTTTTTTTTTTCGCCTCTTGGGATAAGAGTGAGAATACTCACCTGGGATGTTGTGACTATTTCAGCCATTACAATCAAGCCTGCAAAAGAAAACTTGACCAACACCTAATTCACATTCTTAATCATCCCTAGAATGTAAGAGTCAGGTGAGGACCAAGTAAAACAAAACATACAGTTTCAGAGGAAATTGGAATTATTTGCCATGGAATAAAGAAGGAATTTAATAAGGCTTAAAATGCGCTAAAACTGTTCTTTCATTCCTTTCGGAAGTGTCAGTACATTGGTTGAAGCCAAGAAAACATCAAAGTATACTGAGTTGTTGGGCAAGAAGACATGGTTTCATAATTTTCATTTCATTCTGCAAGAGTAGAATCACCAAATCACTAAGATGAGAGAAAGAAGAGCCTGAAGGATTATGCCTCTTCTTGAGACTGAAGCAATTATCTCTCAATATCTGAAATTCTGCTTCTTTGTCAAAGCACAGTTCAAAGGCTGAGTCCTCCATGAAGTTTGCTTCTGCTTTGGAAGGCTTATCACACGTTCCTCTATGCTCTCTTAAAATTCTGTTGAACCTCTATCACAGGGGTTCTGAGTGTGGCCCCGGGACCAAGCAACATGCGTATCACCTGGAAACTTGTTAGAAATGCAAATTCTCAGACTCCTCACAGGTTTTCTGAGTCAGAAACTCAAGGGGTGGGGCTCAATAGTCTATTTGTTAACAAGTCCTCCAGATGCTCCCAATGCCCACTGAAATTTGAGAACCATGGCTTTCACAACTTGTATTTCATTTGTGTTTTGTTGTAGCTTGCAACAGTTCCTCCAAGGGCTCTCCAAGGCTGCAGGTATGTCCATTTATTTATTTTTTTAATCTCGAATTCCTCATATTGCTAAGACCATAGAGTTCACAGTAATTTGCATTCAGTATTCACTCGATGAATGTTTGCTGCTAAATTGATATCACACTTTGGTGTTTCAGTATATCACGTTAGTTGTATTTATAAAATATATACTACTGGATCATTTTCCTGGGAAAATAGCATAGTACTTGAGATAATGATATTGCATATTTTCTCTGATCAGATGAACCCTAAAAAAAAAGCTAATGTAGGTTTTCAAAGTTTGGTGTTCCTTGTACCATTCTCAGAGAAGGTTCCTTAGTGATTCTGCTATGTGCTTCTTATCCTCTTGGTGAAAGTGTAATGATTGAGTGCAAGCTTTGAAATCAGATCGATATCCCAGCTCTGCTACTTTTTCTTTGGGCTTATTCAAGTTACTTAACCTTTTTTATGCTTGAGTTTCTATCTGAAAAATAGGGTATCATGCTCATTTTGCTAAGTTGTTATGAGGTTTAAAAATACTGTCACATGTCAAGCAATCAATAAACATTTGCTGTTATTTAATTACTGGTTTTATTATTATCAACTTGAGGAAAGAACAAGTATACATTTTCTACAGTGAATAATCATAGCATGCTCAGCTGATTATTCTGAAAGTACTGCATAATTGCTTTACTATGAAAGAACATAATATTTCTATGCTAGGGAAAAAATGTCTGGACAATGGTTTATTCTCTAAATTGTCCAATTGATGAAATTACTATTTTCTAAAGAACTCAGTTGTTACAAATGCCCTTAAAAGAGACAACATGCTGTTTGAGAAAGAACAGTAGACCTGAAATCAGAAGGCCTGGGTTAGAGTCCTAGTTCACTTCTGGTATGGTTAGGATTTGAGTTTAGGTGACAAATCAAGGTGCAAGTTACTTAGCAAATCTGAACTTCAATTTTCTACCTCCATAAAATAAAAGCAATAATAATTTGTAAACTAGTTAATTTCATAGAGTTGCTAAAAGAAAGAAATCATAAACATAAAAGTTGTTTATAAAATGCAAAGCAGTACATAAATACAGGGTACAAAAACACCTTGCTATCGCTATTATTATAGTTATTATAAAATTGAGGTTCTCCACTGCTCATTATTTGCTAGTCTCTTGTGTTATATGGACATGGTTTGCTGTTGGAGTGCCAAGTGAGAGCGAATTGAGTAATATTCTTTCTTAAAATTTTTTTAATTTAATTATTTTATATTGGAGTATAGTTGGTTTACAGTGTTGTGTTAGTTTCAGGTGTACAGCAAAGTGATTCAGTTATACATATGCATATATCCACTCTTTTTCAGGTTCTTTTCCCATATAGGTTATTATAGAATATTGAGTAGAGTTCCCTGTGCTATACAGTAAGTCTGTATAGCAGACCTATTGTTGATTATGTATTTTATATATAGTAGTGTGTATATGTTCTATTGTCTGGAACATATTGCTGATTATCTATTTTGTATATAAGTAGTGTGTATATGTTCATCCCAAACTCCTAATGTATCCATTTCCACCACGTTCTTGTCGATGTAGTCATACCCCCTAAGAATGGGGTTCAGAACTTTGAAACATTTCACACGTGCTAATAAAACGCTATTGGACGCAAATGACTTCTGCTCTGACAGCTGACCCTGCTTGGATTTAAATTGGTGTCCGTGAGGAGTGTGGCATTGCACTATATCTTTCAGGGCTATCAGATTCTCTGCCTTTGAAGAGAAAATGTATTTTCTGGCTTACTGTCACTACAGTCCTAGTTAATCAGTTCCCTGGTGCTTCTCTTATGACTCCAGGCTGTGCAGTAGTTCTGCCACAAAACTACATTCTCACAGGGCTTTTGATTTTATTTGAAGTTTTCGTGCTTATGTTTGAGTTTTCTATTTCTTAATATTTATGAATGGTCCCACAAACTTGATGGCAGTTTTAGAATCAGCCAAGAAATCCCCCAGGATATCTGATCTGGCTGTTTTTCTAAAAGAACAACCACCACCAACCCCTCTCCTTTGCTTACTCTGGAGGTTCAATCAACAGAACCATAAGACGCATGCCTAAAGTCTGGAGCTTCTCTTGCTTTTTAGATTGAGGGTTGGAGATAGATCCAGCGTAGCCACTGGATATACTTAATGTGATACATACATCAAGGGAAGTTTCTCTAGAAAGGCAGACAGAAGGATAAGCTTGGCTCCCTAGGGTATAAGACCTTGATAAAGAGCGATCTCAGCCATTGAGAAGCCAGCTCAGGGTTGAAGTAAATTCCAAAACCCGGTTGGGATGGAGGGTCTTGACCTGGATACTAAGGAATGAAGAGACATAAGCTGTGCCCACAGGGATAATACAGTATGTGAAATACAGAAAAGCATAAGAGGACAAATGAAAGTAATATTAATATAACCATGTAGTATATTACGTTTCTCCTGTATACTTCTCTGTATCTTCCAAATTTTATGTGGTGGACATGTATTATTTTTGTCAACAGGACAAATGTGCTGTGAGATATCTGAGGAAATAGTGTAACTACTTACAAGCTTCTTTCCTTCTCCATCCTTGTATGTCCAGAGGCTAGTATAGTGCCTGGAATGTTGTAGGCACTCAGTAAATACTTGCTGAATTAATTCATCTTAAAAGAACGTTGCAGAGAATTATGTCTCATATGACCATGAATATATTAAAAAGAAAAATATAATGAAATGGATAACATTACAATATGTATGAAGTCATTGGATGGTTTTGGTCACATGAGTGATATAACGTGAATAATATTTTACAAAAAGATCACCGGGTACTGTGCAGAAGTGACCTTTGGGGAAGAAAGCAGAAATGTTTGTCCAATTAGAAAGCTATTCTGTATGATAAGCGTGAACCGAGGTGTTTGGTAAGGAATGGCTGCTGTTAATTGTATTTTGGCATAGCACTACAGTTCTTGTTAGCAGATTGGACATAGGCTGTGGGCAACAGAGAGTGGTAAAAAATGACTGCAGGTTTTTCGGCGTGAGCTGCAGGATCAATGATGTATCATTTCCTGAGAAGGAGAATAGTGGTGGGGAGGATGTCTGGGAGGAAGGGGAGAGTACATAATTCTCTTTTGGTCATAATACATGTGAATTTCCCGTTATATATAAAAGATGCTCAGTTAATACAAATCTTATTTATTTATACAAATCTCTATGGTTTAGGAGAGAAATCAGAGCTGAAGATATAATTTGTGTGTTGTACTGTCATTAAATATCTATACACTTAAACCATGGGACAGGGTGATTCTGCAGATATATATATGTGTATACACACACACACATATATACATATATACATAAAGTGAGGGGAGAGAGAAGGAGGGAAGGAGGGAGGGGAGGGGAAGGGAGGGGAAAAGAGGGAAAATGATGCAGGTGGGTGACAGGTTAAATGCAGGAGCAGTATCCTGAAAGAGCAAAAAAGGATAGGATCCAGGGGCTGAGAAAAATGTTTGGATTTACAAAAGATTAGAGACAGTACCTTATAAAAGCATGGGAGAGAAAGGAGAGTATTTACACACACATGTAGGGAGGCCAGTAGGCAGATTAGGTGATTAGAAGATTGTCTAACCGAGAGGGAGTGAGGAGTGAAGGGAGTGTATCTGCAGTTTGGATAAAGAGAAGGTCTGAAATAATATCTTAGCATGTGGGAGAACCAACTGACTATGACTAGACACGTGCTGAGGGTCTACTTGAGATTTGTGCTTAAAAATATTAGGTGAAATCAGTTAGCAAGGTTGAGTGCTTTTCCTTAACAATTCTCTGATGCTTAGGTGCAGGTGTGGAATAGGAAGACAGTTGGATTTAACCAGGGCTTACATTCTGTAAAATGAGTATGATGGAGTGAGAACAAGAGAATGGAGGGGATGTGAAAAGGAGTGATTTACAATTATAGTGAACACCCTACTTTACTGTATAATGTGAAAATTTCTCATGTTGATCAATATTCTTATAATATTCTAAGTATATATCCAAATCAATTTATAATATATCCAAAGCATCCCATCAATGCATAATCATTCTTTGATGTCTATCAATATCGACGACGTCTTCTTTTTGTACTACAACTCTTTACACCTTCAAATATGTAAAAACTGCTATGAAAAAGTAGAGGTTGCTTTTTCCTGTGCTTATTTCAATAAAAGTTAGTGAACTCTATTGCCAAGTACCAGGAACTTTTTCTCTACAATCAGTTTGACCAATGATTTTCAAAATTGCTTTGTTCTTGAGTCCGAAGGTACCACTTTCTCTCCTTCAGTCCAGAATTTGGTCCTGCGAAAAATCCCTAAGGATGCGCTGAGAGGGAACACACTGAGAAAAATGCTGTTCTTGTCTCGGGAAGGAATCCTGGCCCCTCATGGGACCCAACAGCGTTCCCTTTGGGTTTGGGCTCGTGGCTGGCCCTGCCTCTCAGCCTTCTCTTTTCAGCTACAATGAATCTCTGGTCCAGCTGCGACAGGAAAGCACATTTTACTAGAGAAAAGCAAATCCTTGACAATCGACAAGAAGATTCACAGCCCTGGCAATTGATGATAGGATAACGCGTGGCTGACTTCATAAAATGGCTGCAGTCAGACAAAAATGTGCCGACTGTTAGGAAATGAAATGTAATAAACCAGCTACAAAAATAGATTTAGAACACCATAATGTAAGGAGAAACTGGAAGCCACGAAGGGAAAGTGGTAGGGCTATTAGAAAGCTGAGTATTCAAGCTCTCATTAGACTTGGCTACGATCGATGTTCCCAGGTTAGTGGTATGAACTGTTTAAGGACTGTTCAAGTTGACTCAGTTTTATTTAGGGGCCTTTTTTTCCTTTTATAGCAGTATACTATTGTAAAGAAGGATTCTAACATTTCAGAAGTGCCCTTTTCCCTTTATAGCCAAACTTGAACTCCTTTTAGTGTCTGCTTGAAGCTTTGGGAGGTGTACTAACTCTTTTAGGTCACTAAGCAAACATTTAATTAA